GTTGTAGTTTCAATCTTTAAGGCAATATCCAAGCCGTTTTCTAGGGTTTTACAGTACTATTACTTGCTTTACCTTATTACTCCACTACCACTAGCTCTCTTCTTTGTATCTTTATCTTTTTAGCCTATTGCACTTTAATCTTGTTGGGTGTCCACATTCTGTTATTTACTCCACTCTGTCTGGTAGGTATGTGTTCAGTAGGGTCTTTACTCTTTTATGTGACTCTTAACATAACAATAATTTTCCCAAAATAATGCAGGAGAGTAAATGCTTCCATGTCAAGAAGGCAAACCCTCCAAATTTCCCAAAAAGACCAATCCAATTGCCTAACTGGCAACCCCATAGATGACTGCTGGAAATGTGACCCTGACTGGTCCAACAACCGTCAGCGGCTAGCAGATTGTGCAATAGGGTTTGGCCAGTACGCCCTTGGAGGCAAAGGCGGTGAGTATTACATCGTGACAGATTCATCTGATGATGATGCTGTTACTCCAAAGCCTGGAACTCTTAGATATGCTGTGATTCAGACAGAGCCGCTATGGATTGTGTTCCCAAGTAACATGCTCATTAAGCTCAAGCAAGAGCTCATATTTAATAGCTACAAGACTTTGGATGGACGTGGGGCTAATGTACACATTGTGGGTGGTGGGTGCATTACTCTGCAGTATATCAGCAATGTCATTATTCACAATATACACATTCACCACTGTGTTCAATCAGGTAAGAACACCATAAATTTACTGTATTAAATTACTAGTGGCAGTTATAGGACTTTCCTTTACCCCAAATTTATGATGAGGAATAGTCTCCTAACAGGGTAAGTTGTAGAATTGATTAATAGATCCTCTTACAGTTTCATTTAATGAGATAACACCTTGGAAAATTTGCACTCAGAAATGACAGATCCTCTCACTTCCAAGTCTCAAAGTTCATTTTCTGTTAATGTTATTATTTTTAAGAATACAACAGTATCCACTGCTTGTGTGTGAAACGAAAATTTTAGCGAATGAGAATTCGAACAAAATGCTTAAAGATGGAATAACTTGCGAAGGCAGATTTTATGATTGATTATCTCACTTTTGGAAGCAAATATCCTACAAAGGTTCACCAGGGATTAGGATTCCTTTCATTTCTTTTTGAAAGTAAGGGTCCCAACTACACAAAATAAGATTAATTCAAGTTTTAACCTTTCTTTCGTTTTCAATAATTCCATTTTCCCACCCTCTGCATAGACACTTACTTTGCAAATAATGGCTCTTAAATTGCATTAACACTTGCTAAATTTGTGCCTATACAGGTGAGGCTAATGTGCGGTCAAGCCCAACCCACTATGGCTGGCGAACAGAGTCAGACGGTGATGGGATCTCCATCTTTGGCTCCAAGGACATTTGGATAGATCATTGCTCCCTGTCCCACTGCAAGGATGGCCTGATTGATGCAGTGATGGGATCAACAGGGATGACAATATCAAACAATTTTTTCTCCCATCACAATGAGGTGATGCTGTTGGGTCACAGCGATGACTATGAGCCTGACTCTGGCATGCAAGTGACCATTGCCTTTAATCACTTCGGTGAAAAATTGATTCAAAGAATGCCTAGATGCAGACGAGGATATATACATGTGGTGAACAATGATTTCACGCAATGGGAAATGTATGCCATTGGAGGTAGTGGTAACCCTACCATTAACAGCCAAGGGAATCGTTACACTGCTCCTTTTGATCCTAATGCCAAGGAGGTAAAATGTTACAACTTCCTAGTGCTATTTGCTTTTGGTTCTTTGAGGAGTTTGGTGTTAAGTTTGAAATAAGGCTCAAATCACCGCAAATCATGCACCTTTTTCAAGGTGGGGTCGTCTGAAAGTGAAAGTAATTGATATGGTTTTGAAGGGTTTTAAAGCTGGAAACCATTACAAGTTTGCACGCAGTCCGAACTTGTTTTTATTTTTCCATAAAATGAGGTCTTTATGGTCAGTCCTAGTAGCACCCCATTGGTCCATTAAACAATCCAAGTGAAGGATTCCATGGCCTCATGTCATGCACTTTTCAATATTCTTATTCTACTTTTTAACATAGGTCGTAACTAGTAAAATGTCATACTTCAACATTTCATGTCAAATAGTTTTATCTTACTGTTGTTTTGAACAGAAACGAGTCCTAGCACTATTTTGAGAACTGGGTTATGAGTAGTTTTCTTGTTCAAGTGAATGAAAATGTATGAACCGGCTACTAGCATTTTTGCGGCAGAGTATAACGTGTTACTTGGTGATGCTTGCAGGTTACAAAACGGGTTGACACAGCAGAAGGAAATTGGAGGGACTGGAATTGGAGATCAGAGGGTGATATAATGGTTAATGGAGCCTTCTTTGTGGCATCAGGTGAAGGAGTTGAGGTCAAGTATGAGAAAGCTTACAGCGTTGAGCCCAAATCTGCTGTTCTCATTGAGCAGCTCACTATGCACTCTGGTGTTCTTGGTGTTGGTGGCAGGTATTCATAATTTTAGTTCTCTTTCTTTGCCTTTTATTTCTCTCCCTTTCCCCATGACAGTTCTCACTCTTTGCTTTGCCTTTAAAACTCTTTTTCTTTAGGTAAATTTCACTAAGCTCCCTCTACAGTTCCTTTTTATCAACTAATCCATCATGTCATCCAGTGGGTTAGCCCATTGTAAAATTATGATGGGGTTACCCAATGCTAGCAAGATTGGCTTTTCTTAAAAGCCTGAATTAGTTTTGGACAGGCCCAATGATTTTATGTCGGGTCAAATTTTCTCATTCCTGGCCCCAAGGCATCATCTTAGCTCCTTGGGGTCCCAACATGGTTGGTCCAAACTCCAAAGTAATTTCAGCCTCCTTAGCACTAGAAAAGAAATGAACATGCTTCAGTGGTCACTAGGCAAAAATCTGCAATACTTAATGAGAAAGTCTAAATTTTAATGATGATGAGCAGGGACAACAACTTGGGAAAGTGGAGCAGTGGAGCCAACGGTGGTGGAGCCGGTTTCAACTCAGGTGAAGACGATGGCGACGATGACTACTCTGATGAAATGTCAGGAAGCAACATGCCACTGTCACCACTCTTTTCTAACCCTGCTCTTTTCTCTCTTTTGAATGCAATGTCTAGCTTTTTATTGTTGTACATTATACCCCTATCATCCATGTTATAACAACAGGAGAAGTTAATGACTTTGTTTCCTTTTTGGTTCTACCAGCTTACAAAAAGAGGCTGGTCTTTGATTATCTGAAATTAACTTACATCATCTGCTGGCTGCTCTTTTCTCTACTGCCCCACTCCACTTGTAACACATCATTCACAATTAATTTTTTAAATTGAAAGATCTTTGCCTTTAGTGAGGATAAAAAGTGGAGAAGGGGATGAATTGAATGTGCAGAACATGCATGGAAACTCTATATAATATTGAGGCATGATAAGGTATTTTATTTAGAGAATCCAAACATGCTAAGAGAGAATTTGTCTCCACCACAATGGAATAATCACTTTTATATAATCATCGACCAACTCGTTTCTAGCCCTTTTTTTTCCCTTGTGGTGACCTTTTATAGTTTCTATCTAGTTAATTACTTGACATGTAATTGGGTTAACAGATTTTGGAAGATTTATTATGTCTTTTACTATGAAAAGAGTGAATTGGATATTCTTATCTCCTTTGATTAGGAACCTAGGATAAGCTTTCTAGCATATCCTTATCAACTAAGAGTAGTCTCATCCCTTGAGCAGACAGGTATATAAGATTCTCAACAGATAGAAATGAGACCAACTGTAAATTGACCCTTTTCTTTCACAAGCATACAAATCATTAAAAAAGTTATTTAGGAATTTCATTTACTATAATATAATATTATGATCATCTTCTACCTCAAGGTACCAACTTGGAACTGATGTCTTTTACATTTCTGGCTAGAGGATGATGTATTTGCAATTTGCATCCAGTTCTAGTCCACTCGTTTGCCACCAACAAGCTCTGTATGTCGTGCTGTTTTAACTTTGTATCCAATCACTGATCAGTCTAAGCTTCTGGCCAACAAAAATCTGAAAGACATTCGTGTTTGGACAGATAGACCAAAGATGATGTAGTTCCATTATACCAAATTCAGGGTCCTAGATTTTTTTGAGGGGAAAAGATTTTAGGGATGCCATCTAGTTTCCCCTTGAAAGCATGTGTGACGTCTACTAGGGCCAGTTCAGTTCATGTAGCTAGGCTCGTCTTTTGCTCCCACCTCACAGGCTAGCTCGCTAGTTGCTTAAGTAGATAAGATTATCTTTGTTTATTTATTGGTACACTCGACCAACTTTGTGGCCCATGAAGATGTATTAGCATATAATTGCTGGCTTTATTAGCTAAGGAGCTCTTAAATGATACAGCCCCCGGTAACCCAAAGCAGCCCGGAAGAAAAATTAAAAAAAGAAAATGGGGCTCTTTTCCTGATCCCATGGTTTGAACTTTGAATGTTTCCCCATAAACTGGTTTAAAAAGTCCAGGTATAATTTGGACAAAGAGTGTGTCATTTTCACCTTTGTTCTTCTTTGATGGTTAAGTCATATAAGGGGGAAACTATAGTGACTTCTCCTTAGAAATAATATACACTACACAATGGTTCTTTCACTTTTCCCCTCATTTTCTGATGTTTTTTCATTTTCGTTAAGAGCCATTTAGTCAGTGATTTCACATTTGGTAATGCTACTTAATCAATGCCAAATACAATTCATAATGATGTAATTGTGTCAGTTGTCCTCTGTCTTATATAATTGGACAGGGTAGGAAGAAACAAAGCTGCAAAATGCATGCCATGGCTTCAGGCCAAGAAACAGAGAAAGCAGGAGCATATTGCACTTTTCATTTACTGGACAATTTCCAAGCTGTGATCAGCTGTAATCGTCTTCATTTAGTCCCTATCTTTTTGGATGTGTTTTCTTATTCCTTAACTTTGAAACCCTTTTACCAGAACAGAAAATAGAAAGGCATTTCTTTAAAAAGTGAAAGGATTTTTGAATCTGTACATAGATCAAAGGTTACTGAATTCAGTCCTGGAGAACAGTGTATATATAAACAAGTACATTTAGGGATAATGCAGTAATGAATGATATGCAAAATGTTTCTGTTTCACATTCTCCAAGCCTCTTCATATTCACATTAACAGTGTTTATGTTATTCCATGTTCCAGAGGGAGCCTGAACAGCCCCATAAATCATTCTCCTCGGAAATCCATGCTGGATAACAGTAGCGTGAATCCGAACTATTACAGTCCTCCTGAGATTTTATTTCACTTTGATCACTTGGAAACTCTGGTATCAAATCTGATAACCGCGTTTGATATGGTGAGCTTGTAAGAGTGAAATCTGACAGCCCAACAACATCATAACAACTGTTTTCTGTATCCAAAATATCCTTACAAGGCTTGTAGCTTTCACCATTGTAATTTTGGGCACTGCTCCCATCTTCTTGAAACAAGAAAAGTTGTTTGCCATTGTCTCTTCCAAATTGAAAATTTTCTGTTGAAAACTAATGAAGTTGTTAGCAGAAGTAGGCAGAGCAAATACCAGTGGTATTAACAAATTAAAGGGAAATTGAACGGTACCTTGCTCTTGAATTAGAGCTTTCTTTCTTAAATGAGTTCTCCAGTAGTTCTTGATCTCATTATCAGTTCTCCCTGGCAATCTTCGTGCAATCATTGACCATCTGCAGAAAAGTATGCTAGACTTTAGAGAAGGAAAACTGAAAAAGAAAATCCAAGATGATGGAACACTCTCACTTGTTGCCCCATCGCTCATGAAGTTGTAGGATGATCTTTTCCTCTTCAGCACTGATATGGCCATGCTTTATATTGGGACGCAAATAGTTCAGCCACCTCAACCTGCAACTCTTGCCACTTCTCTTCAGACCTGAAAGTAAACAACTTCTTTATAAGAAAAGACAGCTTTTCATACAAGAAAAATGAATCATCACAAGTGTTCTTCCTTGTGGATTATACCAGAAACTCTGGCTACATAATCCCATCTCCGGCTTCCCAGAAGTTTCACAAAGGTTATCAATCTCTCATCTTCATCCTCATGCCAAGGCCCTTTACGCAAACTTTCTCCTTGCATGGCTGCAGCTGTTTCATAAGCCATTTTTTTTTCTGTTGCAGACGACTAGGGGGGAGATGTTTCAAGTCTTCTTATATGAGCAACTGAGGTGGCAAAAAGTGCGGTAGAAAAAGAAAAAGAAGGGTGATCAGAAAATCTTACTTGGCACCATAGCTGGAGAACACTAGTTTTGTGGGAAGTCCACAATTGGCTTACATGATTTCATTCTAATAAGGTTCCAACTGGGTCAATCACAGATTTTTCTAATTTAGTTTCTTTAAATGGATGAAGTTCTATCTCCTGTTGCATCATCATATCTGGCAGCATATGCAGATGTTCTACTCTGCTTCAACAACTACAAGTTCTAGCTTTGGTGTTAGCAGATGGCTATAGTCCTTTGCCTAAAGACAAAAGTTCAGAAGTGCAATATTTTATTTCAGTAAACGTAATCCGATCTGTAAAGACATAGATGAAGCATATGGATAGTGATTTAGAAGGCAGTAAAGAAATAGAATATCAAAATCTGAATCTTGAACTAACATCTTCCTTCAGCTTGGTAAGAGTGTTATCCTACTCATTATTTGTCAAGGCATTGAGAAACATCGGTCAAAAACTAAACATTTTTCTCCCTTCCATTCTTCACTGAATATAACCTGGTTTTATTTGTCTAGGCATTGAGAAACTTCAGCCTAGTTTGTCCGCTTTTGTCCCTTAACCAGCATCTTCCTTAGTGTGGAAGCCCTCCAAGTCCTGGAAAATGCCATTCTTCTAAAAGGCTATGGCCCCATCTTAGCCGCCTATAGTGATGATAAAGCATTTATTGGAGATGACTGATGTGTCAGCCCTATGAATAAAGCAAAGAATTTTGGGAAGGATACTGCTTGAAGAACAAATACTTAAAAAGATACACCACGTTGTGGATTGATTAACGATGTGCTGTGGTCGTCTTGGCCGCCATAGAGCTTGGCACCTACGGCTCTCAGCCTCTTACCGAACCCCTTTAGGACGGTGGCCAACCTGCAGGCCTGCTGATTGAATCCTAGCCCCTGCGGTGAAGCTTACTTTAGGGTCTATAATTCCCCTTTAAAAGAGGAGAAAAAACCACTATAGACTAGAAAGAATATTAACGCAGCTTCACATGAAAAACATTGCTCCTTGGTTTCACTTCTAAACTAGTTTGACTACTAACACAACTGCAGGCACATCATAGATTACACATCAATGGAACTTTTCAGTGGAACATTTGTAAAAGGTCAAGGCACATCATAGATTACACAACAATGGAACTTTTCAGTGGAACTTTTGTAAAATGTCAAACTAAGTAAAAGCTCCAATCACACCATATTTATCAAATTGATGAAGGAAAACTCATAAGACATTACTGTCACCAGTAGCTGATTCTGAGATGAAAATTCCATAAAAGCATCATACGACCCAAAAAATAGAAGGAACAAAGCCTCTTTATAAAATCCAACATACCTCTCCTGACCTATACTATTTCACCTCTTAAGGGGGAAAATGATAAAAAAGAAATTGTACAGTAAAAGCTTCTTATTTACAGTCACTCTGCTTGTCTACATGCTGCAACTCTTCATTGCAAGAATGCTTCAGAATAGCCTGCAAGCCCGTGTGCTGCTACCTCCTCTTTCAGTAACATAAAAGCATTAACCATTAGCGATCAATGAATGACTTATTCATGAGGTTGACAGCATCATCCATGAACTGCATTAACAATAGCTCACAAATTAATCATGAGGTCTTATCAGATTCACTTATTTCGCGTCTACAAGCAATTTTCTTTTAACCAAGGGAAAAAAAAAAAGGCCGGGGAGGGGGTGGGGGGGAGACTAACAGTAACAATAGCCAAAGCTCATATAAAGTATTTCCTCAAACCATACTTCAGAAGTATGGAAACCAGACCATATTTATAAAGTCTCTCTTTTCACTTATTTTTACTTAAAAAAAAAAAAAAACCTTTAGAATCAACCAAGAGTATAAGAAAAAGAAAGACACACAGAGGCTAACTCTCAGTTTGAAAATCTGATCTTCCACTCTACTTCAATACAAGCATGTAATGTTCTCAATATGTTAAGATCTGAAGAACTAGACAAAACCATCTAAATTATGCATACAACAAAACCCTCTGTCCATTTCTGCCAATAAATTATGAGCTCCAGGCCCACCCTCCCCATACCATGGGCTTTGGACTCCCCACCTCTTACTAAAATCCTCCAGACGACCATAGGCCTCTGGACTGATCATCTAAATTGAAGCGTTCACTACATTTCAAGCAGAACTTAAGCTCATATTCTTCCAATCATATTTCACATGAAATTCCTGTAGTTCTTACATGAAAATTATTACTTGAATTTCCAGCAAAAATTCAATATAATAGGTTGGACTGCTTTAAAATGGCACAGCATGACAAACAAGAGTGATCTCATTTCCACCCGAACAACCTTAACCCTAAAGACAAGCAATATAAGAACATCTTGGCCAGAAAAAGTATTTTGGCATAAAAACGTTTTCCAAACACAACTTCTCTATCTCAACATTTCAAAGCCTTTCAGATGTTTTTCAAAAGTATATGACAACTCCACTCGGAAAAGGTCATTAAAACTAAAAGTTTCTTATCTAAAAGTGTGAGCAAAGCAATAAGTGCATCTGTCTGAGAGAAGGCATCTAGAACTATGGTGTTTTACCTTCCCAAGCAACTTTAGTTCTTTACCAACTGGCTCCAAAACTTTCAGGTTAACTTCTATTGGCCACACCTGACAACATGGAAAAAGGAATAGATTATGTGTGTACCAGGCAAAGTTTACACCAAAGGACGTAAGAAAAGGAAGATATCTCTATATCAGACACAATGGTTTTGCCAGATAAAGGGTACTAACATTTTTCCAAGTTTCACATTGAAGATGAAACATAAAGTACATCTTTTGAGTTTAAGGTGCCTTTTCCAAAAAATCATTATACACCAGAATATTACTTCAATTGACTTAATGATTAGACCAAACATATAAATTTTTACAGCCCTTCAAAAGTATGAAACTTAAAGTTTAAAATAAAAATTTTAATCCAATGGATGCATACAGAATAGTTATATCTAGAAAAAGAGAGAGGTGCCTAATCTAGTCAATGTATTGCCAGAGTTAATTAGAATGGTGATAAAGGATCATGAAGCAAAGGTTGCAAACACAACATACAAACATTACACAAGTGTTTTTTGTTAAAACTAATGCAGCAACCCCTCTAGTCTCATCAGACAAAATCTTCAAAAACCCTAGACAAAGCCTTTTCTAGAAGATAACTAACTATAAAGTAAGTAAGCTAAACTAGCGCAACAGTTTCATACCCAAAACTCCAGGGCACAAGGATGCTCTCTGATTGTTTTTAAGCTAGTCGTTAGAAACTTAAAAATGTTCAGATAATTACACATTAGTTGATTTATCAACGACTACCATTTTGGTATTAAAATTATCACTTTAATGAGAGCATTAAACTGAGAATTTAGAACAGAAAGAAAGGGGAAAGTCTTTTTTTCTTTTCCGAAAGGAATGGAAATACCTTCACACCAAGTAATCTAACAGGTGTAATCTGGCCGGGAACAATGCATTCGGGTCCCGCCGCTTCCACAATGGCCTCTGTCGCTAACCCACTTCCTATAGGATCCGGGAGCTGCAAAAGAAAATTCCCAATATTTTTAATTTAAAAAAATAAAGAACCAAGAGAGACAGGAAATAGGAAAGAGATAAAGATAAGAAGGAAGGGATAAAAGGGTGGGCGACCTTCATGACGGCAAGAGCATAATTGGAATGAGGGGTTTGAGCAAGACGCAAAACAGGGGAGTGGTGGATTTTAGGGATGGATTTTCCAGCAGAGGCCCTCCATGGAGCGTCCTTTTGCAAGGAAGCTCCTCCTTTTCTCGACATGCCTTCCAATTTACGCTGCTCACAACGAAGAAGATAATAAGTTTTTGCGTTTGGGTTTGAAGGGAAGACAAAGAAGGTGTGGATAGCCTTTGGTTTGAGGTTTTATTTCCAACACCAAGAAGCGAAGGCCCCCCGAAGCTGTTTTATTTTGTGGATATTATTTTTATTTATTATGATTATGATATATTGGTTTATTTTGATTTTCGTAGCCTTTTTTTTTGTCTGTTTTTCTTTTTTTCAGTAATAAAAATAAGTAACCTTTTTTCTTTTTGAAATACTTTATATATATTGTTTTCAAAGCGAGTAGAAAAGCATCAAAAGGAGTTCATAAAGTGTTTTTTATTTTTTAATTACAGATACAATGATTTAAATAGTTTTTGTTATATTTCTTTTTCAGAAAATTGAAATTAACATTAGAACAATTCAAAGGGAAAGCAAATGAATTAAAAAAAGGAAAAGAGGAAAAGGGCGCAGGTCGGGCAGGCCGCAAAGACAATCCACCCACAAGATGACATCCACAACAGAGTAAGGAACAAGTTTATAGTACAAATTCAAAGACGCCGTGAATATTTTCAGTTTCCATAATTGGCTTCGATTGCATGGCCTGTCGGCTTGACAGCTTTCTCCCTTATTTTCACCAGCAAAAGAAACTGATCAAATCTTAATATCCGATAACATAACAAGAAGTCAAGAGCAATAATATCTCAACTTCTATCCACCCTGTCCCCCATATCCTAGCATTGCACTGTCAAACAAACATTTCTAACAGTTATACACTAGCAATGGAAATGCTTGTCTGTTTGTGTTTTTAGTAACAATACCCAAAGCAAGGCATGCTAATAACCAGCTGCCTCAATTAGAATAAATATAATCCTAAATTTCATCTCAAAAGAATGAAAATTTTCAACTAGTACTATCAATACAAACTAAAAAAATCTGACACCTTTTTGTGTTGGGAGAACAAATAGCGTGACAAAAATACAAGTGGTTCCTCACCGATCATTCTTAATCTGCAGCATCTTACTAACAAATTCCATACATTTTAAATTACATTTATCGCTGCTCTTTCTCGGGTATCTTCAATGATCAGATTGAGATCAAAAATAAAGATTTGAAAAGAAAGAAGAAAAATTAGAAAAAGAAAAAAGAATACCACCAAAATGGAGAAGGGCAGAGCCGCAAAGCCATCATCCCCAACCCAACCATTTCTAGTGCTGGACAAACTCTGACTAATCAGTTAGGCTGTAACCATATCGTCTCCCCCTCTCTGCGCTGCCACATCTGCCAATTTTTTCCATGTCATTTCCCGTTGCTCTTCCACCTCTCTGGCTCTGGCCTCTTTCTCTGCAAACTGTCTCTGACACTCATCAAATAACTCAGCATCCATTTCCATGAACATCTTCCGCACATTCACAGTCAACCCATGAACTGCCTGATTCCAGTGACTTTGAATATTCCTCTCCATTGCCTCAAAGATGATTGGTAATACCACCTGCCGATTCTGGGCAATTAAGCTCACAATGTGCTCATTATTCCACAAGAAGAGGGCTCTTTCTGCAACCTGCAATACATAATGGTCTTAGAAACAACTATGAAATTTTCCATGTTATTGCTAACATCCAAAAAACATCTTTAAAGGGAGCCAACAATATTTTGTAGCAAGCCACTCCCTCCAACAATTCTAAATTGTGATAAGCAAGTAGAAACCATACTTGTAAAAGTTAAATACACAACAACTCCAAAAAATTCCATTTTCCATCACATGTAAAGCCCAGCTCAAACCATATTGTATTTAAGGAAAAATACCATCTTAAAAACCAAATGAAAGATGAAATGAAACAAAAAGATAAAGGAGAATGTTGGTATAATAATCAGAGTGAATGTTTATAATTAAGGGAGTCACGAAGAGGCTACAATGACTAGAACGTAAAGGCAAGAAGAGTTGTAAAACAATATACGGAACCAAGCAGTAAGCAGTATATCTCAAAAACAGGAAATGTACTTGCAACAAACATTTGTTCAGAAGAAATGGTTATTCCATTTTTGGTGAAATTTTGTCATGCTGATCAGCTGATGAAAGAAAAAGAAGGGATTACAAGCAACAAGAGACAACAGGAACGCAAACACTATGAAGAACTTTCTAGCCAACTCCAAGTTGATGTCATAATTTCAAAAATGATGGAAAAGTAAAGATATAGAAGATGGAAATTAAACAACTGATCTTGCAGATGTATGTCATTCATATGCCTACCAGTGCTACACTAATAGCACAGAGCTTCACTACTACTTCATTAAGGAGCTTTGTAGCCATCCAGGAAACAAATTGCCAAATTCAATTAATAGACTTGAAATTTAGGCTAATTTAATAGCTTGAGCTTAAGAGAGGCCGATGATTATTGGGCCAAAATGAAGGCCCTGATTCTCAAAATTGAAATAAAAGAATATCAAGGGCCAATATATATCAAAATCAATTAATATAGGAAATATTTTTTAATAAGATTTAGATATTTGCTTCATCATATATCTGTCCAAAAACTCTAAAACTAACTGATCAAGAGTGTGATTCAGAAGTCACAATGCATGGCAATAAAACATTATCTACAGACAAAAAGAAAAACAACCTAAAATCAATGATGCATGACATTAGTTAAAACAAAAGCAAATTATTGTTTTTCTTTTTGACCAAATCTCAGCCAACACAAAACCATGACACATAATCTCACTTGGATAATCATTTGACAAAGTACACCATGGGTGAAAACTGAGACTACTAGCTTCCTGAATAGGACACTAAGCAACTCCACAGTCCTTTTAATAGATGCAGAAAGAATGAAGCAAACACAATGGCAAGTAAAATGGTCAATACTAGGCAATACTCGGCACAAATTTTGAAAAACAGACCAGAAATGAGAAAACACAATGTATGCAACAGATTGCAGCTCTTACATCAAAGTGCCAATGGTTGTGTGTCATGAATCATTATCCCGCTCAACATTCAGAATCACAAGAAAAAACACAGAAGTACCAAAAGGTTACAAGAGAAACATCATAAGGTGACAACGATTGGCATCAAAATGGATTATTATCATGATGGTTGTTAATCCAATAATATAATCTCATATCCTAGCAACAATTCTACATTCCATAATTCTAAATTGCAATGGTTCCTAAAGGTGATTGCCTACTCAAACTATTAGAACTTTGAACTCATAATCACGTATCAAAAGCCCAAAGCCCTTAAAAGTTACCTGAAAATGAGAGCTATTGAGGCAACGTGCAATCTGTCTGAAAAGAGGAACCATACATCTTTGGAACTCTGCAGACTGCGTCGCTTCAAGTACTTCCTCAAGTTCTCCAAGGAAGAGAACTTCCTTCTGACAATTAGTCAAAGGCCAATACTTCAACAACCCTCTAATAACCGTGTCAGCCAGCTTATAATCCTTCTCAACAAACTGAGTAATACAATAAGACAACTGCTGGTGATACACAGCAATCGGTTTCGGCTTATGCAAAGGAATCAACGCTCTGACGAGGAACAACTTATGTTCCTCCTTCATAGGCAAGGCAAAACCGTTAATAATACTCCCTAGAATCTCCAAAAGCTCCCCAATCCCGCTATGCCTCTCCGTTTCATATATAAACCTATAGAAAATATTATTAATCGCCTTCCTAATAAACGGACGATGAACCATGAATTTACCATAAATCCTATGAAGAATTGTTTTCAAATACTCTCTTTCCCTGGGATCCTCGGAATCAAACAAATCAAGCAACTTCAAAACAAAGGAATGATCAATATATCTCTTGGCAACCTTAGTGTCCGTATCGGAAGACACAACATATCTCAAAAGAAGCTCGTAAACAAGTTGTAAATGCGGCCACGAGGGTTCCAAATAGGGTTCCTCTTCTTCAGGATCAGTAGCTTCTTGCCCCGTGTTCTCGTGAGACGCCGGAGGGAGGCATCGGAAAATGTTGACTGCTACCATTTTAATCATCTCTTCCTGACACATCTCCGTGATTTTGCCCGAGCCGGATTGAATAAAATCAACGAGTTCCAGCAACGTTTGCCGCTTGATTTCTTTTTCTCGGACCGATTTTAAAGTGTCGGTAAAATCGAATTGGAAGCAACAAATCTGTAATTTTCGCATGAATAAATTTTGTCTCTCCGAAACGGGGACGTCTCGGAATAACGGCAACGGTTCCACGGTGCCCATCGGGGGTGGGACCACAGGGGCGGCGGAATTTGGACCTGGTGTGTACGGCCCGGCCCGAGAAGCGTGGTTGACGACCACATTGGGGGTTGGAGCCGACCCGGGATTGCGGGAACCTGGAGGACCGAACCCGTATAAAGATGGATCCGTTGAATCCGATTTGGAAGGCTTCCGATGCCCTCCTTTCATAATTTTCTTCAACATTTTGGACAAACGAGAATGAAAACCTAATAAGGATTAGGCTGACTAATCGAGCTAGGGATTAGGGATTCGACGGCGGTGATTTTGAGGTTTCAATGGATCAGCATGCATGGAAGAATTGCCCCAAGGAAAGAAGAAAAATATGGATCTGAAAGAGGAAGCAGTTTTAGCTTAGAGATGGAGAATGAGGATTTCCATCGGTTTTTCCTTTTTTTTTTTCGAAATGATTGGATTTTCTCACCGTTGATTGATCGGAAATTTGGAGAGAGTCATCTGAGAAGGCAGATCGCCGGAATGTAGTCAGCTGATCTAACGGTGGTGGTGTTCCGGCGATCAATCGGACGGACCAATTTAAGGAAAGACAAACCAAGCGACAGAGGGAGAGAGAGAGGAGTGACGAAAGTGGAGGGTAATTAAGGGAAGGAAAGCTTCAAAAAAATGAAAAGAAATGATTGCAATTAACGCCTTTATAAACAGTTTTCTTAAATCAGTAATTTAAAAAAACAATTTTCTAAAATAAATTTATTAATTTTGCAGATTAATCTGTCTTCTTCTTTTTTTAATTTTAAACAAACAGGATTCTTTGATATAATACTATTGTTTTTTGACGCTGTTTGTTATACACGTGGCTTATGAGTGAGGATTGGGCAACACCTGGGCCCACATCGAAAATCTACGTGGAAAAATGGATTGGATTCGTTCCCTTTCGCAGCCATGTTTGAGAATTCGGATTGCCCTTCCGAATTCTTCTTCTGTTTCGGGTAATCCGAATTTTAAGCATCTGAGAGAATTTTGGATCCTATTAGATAATTTGATATTTTTTTTTTCTCTTCATTAATGCATAAATTAAGAAATTTATAAAAAATGATTTTTTTACTCTGTTTGTAAGATTCCTAATTTGTCCAAATTGCCGAATGCAATGTCAAAATTGTGAATCTTTTTTATTAGATTTTCTTAATTTTGTACTTATGTTGTTATCAATTAATGAGCTTCAACTTTGGGCTGCCGCATGCTTTTTAATTACTTTCTAATTGTAATTCTAATTATCCAATCTAACCGTGTCCAATTACATCAAAAGAAACTTTAATTATTGTTAATCATATGATATTCTAATTTCATCCCAACTTTCTGCACAAATAAAATGAAGTAAATCCGTTGGGATTAAACCAAAAAAAAAAAAAGAAAAAAAAGTGAAGATGACTTCGTGCTAATTACATGTTCATTAGCTCTCCAATCCAATCATGTCAACCAAACTTGGCTTCCTGAGAATCATTGAACATTCTCATCAAGACAGACCAACAGACAAGAGGACAGAGCCCAGCACACGATCGGGTCAACTAAGCATGTGTTGTTCAAGTCCAGAGACCTGACCACGCTTGTAGACTTCGTTGGTCTCTCACAGCTCAGTCAAACCTCCAATTTGGGTCAGTCTAGTACGACCGGTATCACCTAAATATTTATTATCAAATTATAACCGTTGTTAGTTAACTCTACTTGTACACTAGGAGCCGGCTTGATGAGTTTGATCATCCGGGGTCTCTATTGATATAATTTGGAATGTAATGTCACGATGCGGTGAGTACAAAAATTACACATCTACGATCTAATTAACTTAATAATCAAAATTATTTATTTGTCAGAATCTATTAAAAAGGGAAGTTTATATCGTCTTTAAGGAGCAAAAAATTTTGAGAGAGTTGCAAGAATAGCAAGACGTGAGGCGTGCTTGGTAGAAAGATAAATAAATTGGAGCTGAAAAGCCAGTTTGGTTTGCACCAAATGAAAATAGAGCAGGTATGATAATAATAGATGGGATATTTGAAATGTCTATTTTGGTGCAAAGAGATAAGATGAAGTCCAAAAACAAATCCTATTCCATATTTGAAAATGACATCAAACCCCCCACCAATTGCTTGCTACGAATCACCATCTTATTGGTTACAGAAAAAGATCCAATTGCATTGACTTGGTGTATTTATCCCGTGACATGTGTTGAAAATGGACTAAAATTATCACTACTTTTCAGTGCAAAATCAAAGCTTTTAAAAGTATATTATTTTTTATTAAATTAATTTTTATAATTAATTATTAATTAATAAAATATTGGCACGTTAGCATTGAGTTATGAGAAGTTGTATTTTGATTAAAATCAGTTAATTAATTAATTTTTTATTTATTTAATTTAAAATAAAAATATAAAAAAATTGATTAAATTTAATAAGATTATTAGATTTCATTACCAAGTGATTTAATAGACTATAGTAATAATAAATGGTAGAATCTTTCTCGGTTTATAGCGTTGTGTGTGGTGGGGTAGGGTTAAGTGGAAGAGGTCCTGGTCAATAATAATAATGAAGGAAATAAAGAAGCAGCCTCAACATATATATATATATATATATATATATTTTTTAAATGCTTACCTCTTGAGCCTGGTAGAAGAAATAGTGAAGAAGACGCACTACATTACCATTAGCCATTAGTTTGAGATTTTGAAGGGGTTCATAGGAGTGGTCAAAATCAATCATTTTTAGTAAAGAAAATTTATTGAGCAGACATTGGGAAGGAGCTCTACCTGCGTCTGCCACAATATATGACGCTAGAGATTCATTATTCATTATTCATTATTGAACCCTTCAACAACTGAGCTTCACGCAAGTGTTTGCCCTCTTCAAGATATGTTGCATCACTTTGTGATGTGTAACTATTACTTGGATAAACCTCCTTTCCAATTTAGCATTTTGTTTGATTCATTTTTTTTTACTATTTCTTTTTCATAATTTATTGCTTATTATTTGTTATTGTAATAATAAAACTATTAACCAAATCAAATTTAAATAATTACAGGTTTATTGTCAAAGAAAAGCTAAAAATATTCTTCTCCAATTTTTTAATCTAATATTTTTTTAATAGATTTATAATTATTGATTACATAAATGAAAAATTGAGAGGATGACCATGTTAAAATGTAGACCGAGGAGCTTAACCCAATGAATGATCATTTGTGTCTCTTCCCCTGTCGGTTGAATTTCAAAGTTAGATAAAAGGTGTCGGCCTCAATTTCAAATTAGGCTTAAATTTGTCATTAAATTCCTAACATTTAATAATAGAATAACCTAATCGAAAGCCCAAGTTGATGTAGCCAGTAGCTTGGTAGTCAATGGACCACGGATAGCTCTATAGTCCAAGCTCGACCAAGACCCTTTAATCATCAATCAATAATAGTGTTGTGTTGGCTTTAATCACGCAATTAAAGGCCACTTGGTTGGGCTTAGTGCAGGAAGGAAAGATGGGAGAAGAACAGCATGGGCCAACATGTTGGGCACTTGCTTCATTTTATAAAAATTCCTTGTAGGCCTGGCCTCTATAAATTTAGCCATTAATTTGTTCTCTTCATGAACCGAAGCGGCCCATTTAGTGGGCCCACCACCAAGATGACCTTTATCTTTGGTCTTCCAAGTTGTAACAAAGAGCCGTGGCCCATGTATTACCAGTTCCTTTTTTTTTTTAATACAAAATAATAGATTCATTTATTGACTAATACAACTAATAGAAGAAATTCATAATATTAGAAAAAGTTCTTAAAATATTTTTAAAAAGATTTTTTTATATTTTTTATTTGGTTCAATCAAGCCTCTATACTTTTATTTTAGATAAATAAGTTTTTATGATTAATAATTGATTATTTACTATTGATCAGAATATTACTTGTTACTTTATATTTATATGATTGTGATGCGAATAGTGAAAATATCACATGACCATGTCATCATCAATTATGACTTATTAACATATCATATCATTATCAATTATAACATAAAAATTGACAAGTGACATTTCAACTGAATTATTAATAATAAAAGCTTATTTGATTCAAAATAAAAATATAAAGACTTATTTGATTAAAAATAAAAATAGAGAGATTTAATTGAATGTAATAAAATAATGACAATTTATTTGAATTTTATTGAATATCTTAAAGATTTTTTTAAAGTGTTATGCCTAGAAGATTTTTTTTTAAAGATTTTTCACTCTTAGGATTTAGGAGATTCATAATTTTATGATAATCTAGTAATCATTAATTAGCTTAAAAAAATCATCAAATTTATTTTTCAATAAACACGATAAATTTGACCAATTTAATTTTGAATATAATCGTTACATGATTCAATCAAATTAAAATAAAATTAAATAAAGATGATAATTATATGACGGATGGTGAAAATATCATATGATTATGTCATCATTAATTATGACTTATCAACATATCACATCATTATCAATTATAACATATCGACAAACCACGTTAACGTCACAAGACATAAAAATTGCCAAGTGACATTTCGACTGAACTATTAATAGTAAAAGCTTATTTAATTCAAAATAAAAATATAAAGACTTATTTGATTAAAAATAAAAATAACGAGATTTAATTGAATGAAATAAAATAATTACAATTTATTTGAATTTTATTGAATAGTTTAAAGAATTTTTTAAAGTATTATGCCCAAGAAGAAAACAATTTTCACTCTTAGGGTTTAGGAGATTCATAATTTTATGATAATCTAGTAATCATTAATTAGCTTAAAACAATCATCAAATTTATTTTTCAATAAACAGGATAAATTTGACAAATTTAATTCTGAATATAATCATTGCATGTTTCAATCAAATTAAAATAAAATTAAATAAAGATGATAATTTACATCGCCTAATGTGATCAATCTCTCCCTCTTCTTCTTCTTCTTCTTCTTCTTCTATCTTCAACTGCAAATTGAACATCACATTCATTGCTTGCGTATACCAAATGAGGTGGTGCACTGACTATTAAGAGTCTTAAAAGAGTTGGGAATAAAACAAAGATCATCCTGGGACAAGTAAGAGAGATATTTAGCCAATATGATAATGCCAATGAGCAACGGCATTGGACCAACAAAAAAGCATGGCATGGCAAGAAAGTTTGGCAAGCTATAAGAGATTGGATCAGATCCTGGCCTAATGTGGAGATGTGCATCATGTTGATGTGATAACTCATGTATTTCAAGCCTGCCGGTTCGACAAAGATGCATCGAACGTGTTTTTTGCGGTTTGAAAATCTTACAGCCAATTTCAGTTGTCAAACAAGAGATAATGTTTGATACTGAAATCCCTTTCATATAAGCTTCATAAGAGTGGGAAAAAGTGGATTAGCTTTCAGCGACCTTTTATAAAACAATCCAAGTTGCTAGTAGCCTCGTGGGCCTGAAATGATTGACCATATATATGAAATGACAGAGATTGAAGAATCTTTGGTGGTATGGTGGCTGGTGGGAGAAGACTTTGAAAACAAGGCCTAGACGGTGGGAGATCCAAAAGAAAATGCTACCACCGTAGTGTCTGCTTCCATCAGTTTCTGCAGAAGAGGCAGGTAGGTTTTCGGCCTTCTGGGTGTTGCTATCTGTCAGAAACACAGTGCTAGCTAAGTGAACCAGAATGCCTGCTGATAACGCCAAAATAAATGCCAAGAGTTTCGTTTATTTTGAGAGGAAAACAACGCCCTACCTACGAGGGCAAAATCTTGCGTGCGGTGTCCTGCCTTTGTCTTTTGTTTTGTTTACAGCTGGCTATTCTCCTGTTTTGCTTGCATTCAAAGCATTTGAATTTCAGGGTATTTAGGCTGTCAAAAACTATTTAGCCCTTAGGCCAAGAGAGATTGAAGTATGATAAACAGGATGAAGGATTTCAATTTGGAAGTTACCTAACGATGTAGGTAAAAATTTCACTCTTATGGATTAGGTAGTCTCCCCCACCTTAATGGGTTTGCCCTCAAGGAGAACTAGAAAGCAACCCTACAAAGAAGAGCAAAGAAAGCTGCCAAACCAATGACTTAAATCAATACAATTCAGAAATTATTTTCCTTTCTTTTGCCGTATATTGAGGAGGAGAGTGAGGGAATTTTGGAGCCATAAATCGTCTACCTTCTGTCTTAATGTGTGAGCAGACTGCAATAAATGAGAAATAAGAAAAAAAAAAAAAAACTAAGATACATCATATCATATAATGTCATA